GAGTTTTTAATCTCCTGAATATCTGTTTGAATCTGTTTCATGGATTCCATTTCTTTCTTATGTTGGGCGATCATGGTTTCTATTTCTTTCTTATGCTGGGCATTCATGGCTTCCAGCATTTTCTGAATGAATCTATTTTTTTATTTGTTTCTATTCTAGAGCCTCTAATTATGTTTTTCACTCTACTCACCATCTCTGTAGTTATCTGGGAGATTATTTGTGCTTTGAATTTTTCTAGAGCCTCATTCATCTGTTTTGTCACTTCCTGTGCTATCAGTTCAGGGTGTCCAGGTGGTTGATTATCAGACTTTTCCATCTCGCTTTCCCCAGAAATTTCCTTTTGTTGGGTGGGAGCCTGGGTTTGTGACTTGCTTAAATGTCTTTTCATTTTTGTTTTTGGTGCTGTCAGTTATAAGTCAGTGATTCCCAGTAAGCCAGTCACTGGCCCCTGAGATTCAGACAGACTTTTGGCCGCAAGTCCCAAATTGAGCTCCCCGTCCTCCCACAGGGGAGAACTCTGCAAGGCTCTACTACAGGTTCCAGCTGTCTTTCCCCTGAAAATAGTCCAGGATCAAATGGGAGGTGATGGTCCCTCCAACTTATCGAGTACGGTGGTCTGGTGTGCCTATATTGCAAAGATTCTCTTCACTTTTCCAGTGGGCTTCAGTTTTCATCAGGGAGCCTGAAAGAGGCCCTCTCTCTGCTATTCACCTCTGCAACTCAGGACAATGGCCTTTATGTTCCCCTGTGCCTCTGTAGTGTGGAACCAGGTAGCTGCACAGCCAAGAGGCCAGAGGTCTGGGGGGGGGGGAGCTGTTGTTACAGGCACCCATGTGGCCAAGCCTGTGGCCCGTGGGCTTGTGGGGCTGGGGGGGGTGACCTCAGGGTCTCCTGGATGCAAGTGGGTGGGGCAAGCTGGAAGGAGCACGGTGCAGCTACCCGCGTCTGATCGCAAGGCCAGACTGGCAGCCAGTGTGCCTCTGCTTTCTCTTTTTCTTATGCTTTTTTCCTCTTCTTTCTTTCTTCTCTGTTTTTAAGAATATATTCTGTATCTTTAATGATTATAGTTCCATTAAATTTATTTTATTTTTGAAACGTTTTTAAAGCTATGTTTTTCTGAAAATTGTTTGTCCACCAGTTTTCAAATTTATTGGCATTATGTTGTTCTAGTACTCTTTTTACCTTTATAATCTCATAATTATGTTTTTTAAAACTACATAATGTAGCCAGGTATGGTAATACACACCTCTAATCCCACAGTTTGGTAGGCTGAGGCAGGAGAACCACAAGTTTGAGCCTAGACTAGGCAACTTAGCAAGACTTTGTTTCAAAATAAAAAGAATAAAAAGGGCTGAGGAAGTAGCTCAGTGCACAGGCCCTGGCTTCAGTCAGCCTACTGATTCCCTCCGCCCTCATCATAGTGCTTGTGCCTCTTTTTATTCTTTTTCAGACTTGACAAAGGCTTGCTTATTGTGTTGCTCATTGCATAGAATCATCTTTTGTTGATTCTCTTTATTGAATCTTTATTCTCTTTTATTATATATTCTTTCAACTTTCTTTGGGATTACTGTTTTCTAATGTATTGAGTTAGATACTTAGATCATTCTGTGTCTGTATATTTTCTAATTTAAGCGGAGTATACTATAGTTTTCCCCTCTCAAATATCACCGTAGTTGTATCCTACAACTTTTTTTTTTTTTTTTGGGTACCAGGGATCGAACTTGAGTCCTCGTGCTTGCCAGGCAGGTGGCGGAACCACTGAGCTAAATCCCTGGCCCTATTCTACAATTTTTAATACTTGTTATTTGTGAATCATTCATTCTAAATGTGCATTACTTTTTGTTATATTTTTTCCTTGACCTTGTGAAATATTTAGAAGTATTTATAAATAAAAGAATGAATGTAAGGACAATGTTTTTATGTATAATTTGCTGAAATTATTACATATCTATAGACAGTTGTTAATAGTTTAAATTCAGAATTTAAATCTCCGTTGTCAGTATGAAGTTTTTTTCATTTCTATATGAAAAAGTATTAGAATAAAAATACTTTTTGTGAAGTTTATGTTTCAAATATAAAGGATTCATTTTTTACATATTTGTGTCTGATTTAATTGAAGTGTGACTACAAAACATGTATGATTATATTTTGGGATTTGTAAAGACTTGTATTCTGGAGGATTGTTGTGTGCATTTGTGTGTATGTGTGTATGTGAATGTTTTGTTCAATATCCTTCAATCTTTTATGTCTTCTGAAATACCTGAAAATCATCATACCCTGCACATTTTAAGTTGATATTTAAATTTTTGTGTGTGTGTGTGTCGTAATGGGGATCAAACTCGGGACCTTGCAGTTGCAAGGCAGGTGTGGTGCCACTGAGCTAAATCCTGGCCCTAAAATTTTTTTCATTGTAAGTTTAAGTAGTGCAAAAAGGCATTATGTAAAACTTTTTATTTTAAAGTGAAACTGCTTCATTGTTCTTTAAAAAATATCCAATGACTTATAAATATTTTAGTAATTTTATAACTTCAGTATTAATCAAAATATACATACACACACACACACACAAGAACTTGCAAGTCTTCAGTTAAGAGAAACTTGAAAGTTTGAATCTACCTTTCTGCAGAGAACAATTAAAATACTGGATAAAACTTTTTTGTTTTAAATCTTCAGGAAAGGACCCCCCCCACCATATTTTCAAGCATAGGGAAAAAAGATATTTGATTAAAAACTCAGTTTTCAATGGTGTTGTACGAGAAGATTTCTATTGCTACTGCATTTTTTCCATGTTTAACTTCCGTCCAATACAAATTGTAGATGTTATGTAAACACTCAGTTAACTGTTAGAATCATTTCTTTTTCTGCTTTCTTTATAGGTATCACACCTGTGTATCATAATATGTTTGCTTTAATGAGTGAAACAGAAAGGATCTGGTATCCACCCAATCATGTCTTCCATATAGATGAGTCATCCAGGCATAATGTACTCTACAGAATAAGGTACTTACATAAAGTGACTTACTTATTAGAAAAGGAATAAAGTAGGAGATATTATAAACTATATAATTTGATAGTTACAGTGTTTTGTTCTGGTTGGGTATTACTTTTTCATTTGTCATTATATTTAAAAACATTTAAAGGAGGGTGTGAGAATGGCCTCTAATAGTAAAATCTTAAATGTTTATGATACTGCTAATTTCCCAGGAAATTTGATGTTTTGTACAATAAAATGCAATCTCACATATCTTCATAAATAACTTTTTTAAAAAGTTGAAAAAATGGAAAGTAAGATTTTTACCAATGTTTGCTTACAACCTTAAAATTTTAAATTGATTTTTAGTCAATTTATGGCAATGTATAATGCCTATTTAGAGAAATTCAGAAGTATTTTTATTCTCAAAAGGAAGAAAGAAGTAAACTCAATTTGTATCTCACCAATAGCTGTAATTTTCCAAGTTTTTATTTACATATGTATATACAATTTAATTTTCATCACAAATTCAAGATGGGATATGTATCTGTACCAGTTCCCTAAGATGAATGTATCTATAGTATTATGTATTGTGAACATACATTAATAAAAAAATAAGTGCTGTGTTAAAGAATCTGATACTTTGGTATATTACTTAATGTTTATTTATGGTCTTAAAGCTAGGAGATGACAGTTCAAACCCAGACCTAGTTTGCTTCATAAGATTGCCTTTTAATCACCTTATGTTTACCTCATTAAAGAGGTAATGTATGTATAGTATTTAGCATTGTGTCTGTCACTTGGGCTCTTTCTTAGTAAAGTTTAGTGTTGCATTGCATCTTTCCTTCCCCCTATTCTATATAAAAATATGTAGTTAGCTGTGTTTGAACTTTCTGATTTCTAAGGTATGATTTTCACTGAGTTTAACAGATGATTTTTGATGTTATTATTGAAAAGACAAAATTAGTAAAAGTTCAGTAAACAACAGACTTGTAAAAATGGCAATCTTGTACATTAATCACCCAATTTCACATAATAAAGATCCTATTAAAATAGCTACAAAAACCTTAACTATTCAGGAATAACCTTAATTATTATTATGACATGACAATAGATTGAGACAGTACAGGAAAACTACCAATTTGTTTAAAAAAATATGAAGAATGAGACCATAATACAGGTATTCCACAGTATTTATGGGATACTGGTTCCAGCATTCCCCTTGGATATCGTAATCCATAGATACTCAATTCTCTTATATAAAATGGCAGAGTATTGCATATAACCTATGGACATCCTCTTACATAATTTAAATTATCTCCAGGTTATTTATAATATCTAATACAAAGTAAATGCTACGTAACTGGTTGTTGTACTGTGTTGTATGAAGAACAATGACTAGAAATACATTCATGTTCAATATAGAGGTGCTTTTTTTTTTTCCAAATACTTTCCATCTGTAGTTAGTTGAATCTATAAATGCAGAACCCACAGGTGGGGAATGCCACTGTACTGGATGGGAAAGATGGAATACTAGAAGGATATGGCTTTTTATCAAAATATAGGATTAACACTAATCCAGTTAAATTTCAACAAAGTCATTTTGGAAAATTTATCAAATTATTAGAGTTAATCTAAAATTACTAATTAAATGGAATGGTCATGAGAAAAAAGATATGTTTGGCAATTGTAAAATATTCTGTCAGATATTGTCACTTGTGAAACTCTTAAGATAGTATCTGTTATTAATATATAGTTAAGTTCATAATCATAACAAATATTAAATGTTTTATGTCAGGGAGAAGGAAAAAGGATTGATCAATAAATAATAGCAGGGTCAGGAATTTCCCAAGTTCAGTCCCTGGTACTAAAAAAACCAAAATGGTAGCAGGATAGGTGGTTAGCTGTTTGGGTAACTTTCTACCTTCTTACTTAAAAATGTATATCAATAAATTTTTTTAATTTTTATTTTTTATATTTTTTCCAGAATAAATTTTAGGTTGATTAAAGAGTAGGTTGGTATATAAATAGGAATGTAAAAAAAAATCATACCATAAAAACCTGAATTGGAGCTGGATATGGTTTCATATGTCTGTAATCTCAGCACTCTGGGATGCTGAGAGACAGGAGGATCCCAAGTTTGAGCCCAACCTTGGCAACTTAGTGATAAAGACAGACCCTATCTCAAAATAAAAAAAAAAAAAATGACTGAGGATGTAGCACAGTTGTGGACTCTGGGTTCAGTTTTTAGTACAGGAAAAACAAACAAATTTTAAAAATCTGAATTGGAATTGAACACATATGAGTTCCATGGGAAAATAGGATTTAAGCATCAGAAATAGAGAAAGAATATAGGTCTAATTGCTATTCACTATAAAAAGTTTTAAACTTCTGAAGGTTAAAATAAACTTAAAAGGCAAACATTAAAGATAGTTTCAACAAGTCAAATAAAAGATTATTCTTACAAATCTAAAATTAAAAATACATGGTGAGTTATTTCACAAAAGAATGAAGAGTTAATGACCTTTGGGAAAAACAAAAGCTTAGTTTCATTAGGTATGAAAACAACGAATACTTGTAACTGTGAAGCCTACAATCTCTCATGATTAATAAGCTGTTGAAAAATCTAATAATATGCAACCTCTGTGAAAAGTAATTTTATAATATTTGCAATTCTTTTGTCACATGCTATTTCTCTTTTTTTTTTTTCACATGCTATTTCTCAAGATTTTCTGGTGATTTTTAGATTATAGGTGGCTCTTATGGAATAGACCTCTTACAGAGAGACAGTAAAAACAATATAGAATAATTCATGATTATTAAAACAAAGGAAAAGGAAAGGAAAGGAAAACATTAAGATTGAAAAGAGACATCTTTAATATGATAGAGTATCTACCAGAGCCAAATATTATTTTTTCTGGTAAAATGTTAACATCAGTCTCTAAAATGGAGAACGATAAAGCTGGGTGCCATGGCTCATTCCACCAGCACTCTGAGAGGCTAAGGCAGAAAAATAGAAAATTTGAACCTAGCCCAGGCAATTTAGAGATTTAGTGAGACCCTGTCTCTAAACAACAGCAGTCACCAACAGCAACAAACAAAAAGGAAGGGAGGCTGGGGATGTAGGTAGTGTGAGTCCTGTATTCAATTCCCAGTACCAAAGAAAAAAAGAACAAGACAAAAAGACAAAGATGCGGTGTCCACTATCACTACATGACTTCAGCACTTCAGTGGGATTCTAGGCAGTATAGCAAGACAAGAAAAATAACCAAAATGTTTAAGGGCTGAGAACAAAGAAGCAATATAATTCTAAATGTACAAAATATGAACAAAATTAATAGGGTGCTAGATCTCTGTTATCAGTATTTTAAAGTATTACTGGTTTCTATATACCACCAGCAAACAGAAAAGAGGTAATTTAAAATACAAACTAATAGCAAAAAAGTATCTAGGATTAAAACTATCCAAAATTAAGACTTTTATATAGTTTTTTTTCTTTCGTTTTTTACAGTTTTGGGGACTGAACTGACTAGGGCTTCATGTGTGCAAGACAAGCACTCTGTCATTGAGCCACATTCCTAACCCTCTTCAGAAATTTTTTTTTTTGGTACTGGGAATCGAACTCAGGACCTTGCGCTTGTGAGGCAGGCGCCAGAACCACTGAGCTAAATCCCTGGTTCCTCTCTTCAGATTTTAAAACTACATATTTGTATTATTTAAAGAAGCTTGCTAGTATGCTATATGGGATTGATGAGGTATCAATATATTAAGTATATTTTCCTTATCATTTTCTGTATTTACTATATCTTACAGAATCAGCAAATATATCTTAAAATGCATGTTCCAAGGTCAGCACTTTTTTAAAAAAAGGAACAGATAGTAAATATTTTAGGCTTTTTTGCTTGTGCTGTTTCTATTTTAACTATTCAACTTTGTTATGGTGGTATAAAAGAAGCCATAGATAATATGTAATTGAGTGGGCATGGCTGTATCCCAGTGAAATTTTATTTACTAAAACTGACAGTGGGCCAGATTTGACCTGTGAGCCAGTTTGCTAATTTCTACTTAAGAATTAAAAATTATTTCTCATACCAAATTATAGTAGAAATGAGTTCTTTCTGTTCTAAAGCTAAAAGGGCATATATCAAAAGTTACCTATAACCAGAAGTTCCAAGAGAAGTCTATCCAGAAACTGTCCAAAAGATTTTATAATAAAAAAACTCACTTGTCGGTTGTTTATAGGCTATTCTTCATTTCCTTTGGTACATATGTAGGAGTTACATCAAAGCAACATGAAAGAGCAATAATTTAAAACTGTTGAAGGTTGATGAGTGGATAAAGAAAATACAGTATATATTCACAGTGGAATTAGCCATAAAGAAGAATGAAATCATGTAATTTTTAGGAAAATGGATGGAACTAGGAACTATCATCTTAAGTGAAATTAGCGATACTCAGAAAAAGTTAAATATTACATTTTCTCTTATATGAGAAACATAAAATTACACAAGTTAATAAATAACATGAAAGGAGAGATGACAGGAAACCTGGAATAGACTTTTGGAGAAGGGGAAGGAGATCATGGGGCAATGTTGGGATTAAAATTGACTTAAGATATGTTAAATATGTGAACCAACTTCCCAAAGCGAACCCTGCCATTATGTAACATTAACATGAGGTAATAAAACATAATAGGGTTTATGGTGTATAAAAATATAATTTACATGATGGTAGTACAAAGAGCATGGATGAAGTTTTTGTATATTGATGTAATTAATGTGGAGTTAATAAAAACTAGATTATTTTACATTGTTCATTGTAATCCTTAGGGCAACTTCTAATAACTCAAAAATATATAGCAAAATAAACAACAAAGGACTTAAAATTATAGAATAGAAAATATATATTTTTTAGTATCGGAGATTGAACTCAGGACCTTGTGCTTGTGAGGCAGGTGGAGGCACCACCACTGAGCTATCCCTGGCCCCAGAAAATATTTTTAACACAAAACAAATCAGTAATGGAGGAC